CACCTGCAGCTGGGAACGGGCCCTTGGCCAGGCAGAGACCTGACTGACTGCAGGGACACTGCCCTGACCTGGCACCTCCCTCAGGGTCTGACACTGGCTGCTCCGCTTTACCCACTGAGGGAGACACCTTGGGTTCATGTTCATAAAGTTAGCAAGTGCACAAATGTTTGCAAAATCCAGCTTAAGCTACCTTGGGACACTTCTCTAGTGCAAATAATAGTTGCATTTGTACTTTACTGTACACTAAGTCGTACATTAATCTGCAGTAGGAGAACAAATCTCTCTCCGTGCCTCGACTACACCAGTGTCACCTATAAAATCCAGTCATATTTAACAGAAGAAAACCAACTTTACAAACACAGCCTGCCTGTGCTCTATTAGGACATGTTTAATTATGACTTGCTTTCTCTGCGCAGGAGGATAAATGAGCAGGGAAGAGAATGCTGTGCTGTTGCTCCTGAGCAGCTGATGAGTAGTTTGCACAGAGGTGAGTACGTGTCCCTGTTGGAAATTAATTGGAGAAGGAAGCGGTAAGAGTGCTCTGCTTTGGACCAGTAGTGAGTCTGCCTTGCAAAATGTGCTCTGCTAGAGGCTAGGTGGCTTACCTATTCCTGAAACCTTTATGTCTAAAAGTCTACCACAAATTCCAGCAAACAGCGAAGTTCCCACAGCGTAAGAGGCTCTGCGTCTGGAGCTTGAGAGCATGGCAAGACAAAGGCAGATGAGATGGTGTATTGTCTGGCCCCTGCTGTTTGTACAGACAGATGTGCTCGCTGACTGCGTACGATTAGATTACTCAATGATTTTACTGGACCACGTGAGCTGAGCTAGCATTTGCCTTGATGTGTCATCCCATCTCTCCTCCCATTTGCTGCGAGCGCTGCTGCGTTGTGACTGTCTGGTGTCAATGTGTCTGCCTGGGAGCTCCTGTTTCAGGTAGGCTTGTGTTTTCTTCTCTTTGAGTAGCCAGATTGTGGCTGGGGGGGGGGGGGATCTGAACGGGAAAAAAAGGGAGGGCAGAAGAGAAGAGATAGGAATAAACTTTAACTGCTCTTGCACTAAGACTACTTTCTCTTTCCCCATGTTATACAGTATGTATACACTTTCCAGCTCAGGCAGGGCATGCAAGGGCATGGTAGAGAAGATTGCTTCCAGGCAGGGCTGCTCCAGCAGGAGAGTTTTCAGGAAACCGTGCACATTGCAAGGCATCCCAGAGCAGCACAAGACCAAGGCAGATTCATCTCAGTGCAAGAAGATGTGAAGGAGGAGGAGATCCTTTACTCGGGCACAAAACAGTGGACTGTAGCTACCTGCATTTCCTAACCAGAAAAACCACGCTGAGGAGAAATTGCTTGCAACAGCCTTGCTGTGATTTTAAAAACGGTGCCAATTCAAACTGAGAGTTTTCCACGCGAGGGTCGGGAAAAGGAATGTCATGATACAGATGATTTTGTTCTAACAATAGAATAGAAAATGCCAAGTGACTCCAAATAGGCATGAAATGTACAAAGTTTGTCACTACTGACTGAGGCCAAACAGAAACTCAAAAATGATGTGCAAAGCCTGTGCATCTTGGGTTTTAATTCACTAACAAATTAGCTGAAACCAATTACCTATATTGATTAAGGGCAGGAGCAGTTTACTGAGTAGTAACTATATTCCTAAGATAATATCCTTGTTGTCTGGAAAGGTCTGTTCCCATGCATCCACAGGGAACCCATTTCAATTGCTAATGCTACTGGGGAGTGTGTTTCTACTACAGGAGCCACATCAAAAGCTCTTCTCATGCTAAAATAAGAATTGCTACCATGCAGGTCCAGGGAACAATAAAAAGGAGCTGCACTACAAGTCTCGGTCAGCAGCAGTTTTAGTTCTACCAGCACAAACCCCTCTTACGCAGCCTCTGTCAAATAGCATGGTAAATTTGATTTTCTGTTATCTTTTTGTCCAGTAACTCTGGTTTTGCACCCAAAATATGCTGAGGTCCAATACAGTCCACAAGCGGAGAAGCCGTGTGCATCATGAGGTCTGCCACCACTTTGTTGCTCTTTCACTGACATTTGCCATAATATGGTTCAGATATACATCTAGATTTGTCTTCTCTCTGCATCTGAACTTCAGATGAGCCTGTAAAATTGACAACTCACTAATACCTGAGAAAGAGTTTTTCCACTGAGGTGGCTCACGTGACTTGTCCACTCTATTTCTTTGTTTACCTGCTCTTTTTTTCTCCTTTTTCCTTTTTTCTTTTTTTTCCTTTTTTGTGTGTGTTTGTGATTTATGCCTATAATCCCAGGCATGGATCTTATTTCAGAAAGATCAACACACTAGTAAAAAAAGAAAATAGTTGGAGAGCTTGGTTTTCCACAGCAATCATTTGCACGTATGTTTTCAGGTTCTTAAATACAGACCGTGCTGGAGAATAGAGGCACCAGTACTAAGAAGGAGCACCAAGCATGCCGCCTTACTTCCCCAAAGGCTAGTAGTACCAAAGGCTCACAGTTGGTCTGGATTGCTGCAAGGGTGTTGGCAGCAATGTCTGTGCAAGTTAAAAACACCACCAAATAACAGCTAAATCTTGCATTTCACTCCTATGACGAGCAGGCCTATCTCTTGTTTTCTGCATGTAGCTTATTGTTTGCTACAGACCACAGTAGTAATGCAAACTTCAACACCTAAAAGTCTCCATACATACACACACACATATATGTATAAATATATATCTAGAAAGTTCTTAAAAGTCTTCCTAGCTGTGTAGTAGGTTACACAGTGCCTAAAAGAGAGTTTTAAAAGCATCTGGGCAGACAGTTTCAAAGGCATCTAAATGCCTTGGAAGGTCTTAACTTTTGATACTTTGGAAAAGTTACCTGTGCTCTCTGTCCCCAGCTGAGACTTCCCCAGGGAAATCCTGGCTCCTGCAGGCATGCTGGAACCTTCCCCTAGTCCTCCTCCTTCTACATTTTCCTAAGTCCAGCTAGATGGAGGTCTCGCATTAAGACCATGGCACAGGGGAAGACATGGTCTTGCAGCCAGCTGGCCCAGCGAGCAGGTGCGAAGACGTTCACCTCAGTGGCCTATGGAGCGCGCAGAGGAGAGCGAGAGGCTGCTGGGCCTGCAGTCACCTGTGGTCATGGCAGTTTGCGTTACTGAGGTGTCAGGCAGATAAGCGTTGTTCGCTTCCGGATATAATTCGCTGTAACAGTCAAATTAGGAAGGAGCAGTGGTTTGAAGCACTCTGGGCATGTCCATGCACCTCAGGACAGCGTTCAGCAGTCACTGAGCTGGGACGTGTTTTCCCTTCGCAGTGGTGTTTGCTGCGTATTTCTCTGCTGGACTTGGGCAGTGGTTTCAGCTCAGCATCTGCTCGTCTCTCTGAATCCCCTTTTAATGAGCTGTACTGTTGGGCTGTGGCAGCGTTTTCCAGATGACTTCTGAGAAGTGTCAGGCAAGTCTCCATTACTCCCTGGGACTTTGCACACATCTGTCCCAGCCCATCGGCTTCATCAGAGCCGTCCTCCTTCCAAAGGTGCTGGTGTCCACGAAGAAGGCTGCACTGGATCTCCAGCATGACCGCAGCTATCCTTACCTGTCCCCCTGACTCCCTGGTGAGGAGCTGCTCTGCTCACTGGGTAAGCTTGACTGCCAGGTCTGTCCCACATCCTGCACCAGTTCCTCACTTGGGGGACAATCTGGCCACAAGTCCTTAGAAAGTTTCTCCAGTGCTCTTCTCATTACACCTTGTGACTGTACCTGATGGGTGGAAGCCACCACCTGCAGCCTTCAATCTGTTTGCACAGAGACTTCTGGAGACTGTTTGGGGCCAGGATGGGAGGAAAGTGCGGCTTCTGGGAGGGACCTGCCAGCGCCTGAGGTGGCTTGTCTGTGTGAGTTTGAAGGTAGGCGATGGTATTTCTGCCTCTGTAGCACACTGGACTGCCCAATCAAAACAGTACTGGCAATAATCCCAGATCATCTGATACTGCCTCAGCATTACTTCATTTTGGAGCAAAAGGACGTGATGTTCGAAAAAGTTTGTGCCCCAAATGTGCTGTCTCATGGCAAGAGATCCACGTGAACAGACTCACAATTGGAAGAGAGTGAGTTACCAACTATTTCACTTTAGTCAGAGCCATGCCACAAGCTCTCATTGCTTAAGCATGTTGTTACACCAAATGCATGCGTGGCTCTTAGAAACAAGAATGTCTCATCAGAAAGCCTAAGGTTAGCTTAAGTAGTTTAAATAGCAGGTTTCACTAACACAGTTCCTTGTGATGGATGTCAGCCCAGAGCTCGTCACAACTCATCCGTGACACTTAGCAGAAACTATTTGTCAGACTTCAAATTTACAAATGAAGAAAACGTTGCTGCAAAACCTGCTGGCTGATATAATTCTACACAGAGGCAAAAAGGATTCTCCTGCTTCTATGTGAGTGTTGGTGGCCTTACATGGTAGCATGCTGTGCTGAAAAAGCCTTTCATAATTCTGAAGCAGCAATGACCAATACACTTGGGTGGTTCAAAAAAAAAGTTCTTTGAAGTAAAAAAAATAGAATGATACAGGAAGCCAATAGGACGTTTTCCTGTCACAAGGTGGATGCATGGGAAGTTTTACAGCTATATGATACAGGGACAGGACAGCAATACGATGCAAGGAGAGTGGGGAGGGAGCAGTTAAGAACACACCCATAAACTGAATTCAGGCACACTGTGAAATATGTAGTGCCGGCTGTTCACTGCCAAGTTAGCAATTATGCAATGTGTCTGTTTCATCTTCAGGGTGCTGTGGAACAGCTTCCATCTGCAAGTTGTTCACTACTTACACTGCTTACACATCAACAATGACTATGAGATATTGAAAGTAAGGACAGCCGCTGGATGCTACGCATCAGATCGACACATGCGTTCTGCAGCAGGAAGCAAGCACAGCCAGCAAAGCAAGCTGTGGTGTCTGACCTGACCACTTTCAGATATTTCAAGTGAGAATCTTTTTCTGAGCAGCAATGAATATGCTCAGATATTGCTTCTTCGCTGTCCTGATTCTCAGTGTTTCAATTCCATTTGTTTTCTATGCTGTTAATTTGCATGCACAAAAGTCTCTTCGGAGGCTGAACTTCTCGGTGAGCTCAACTTTAGCAGAAGCCTGTGAAGCCCTTATTGAAGATAACGTGTCCTTTCTGAAGGAAACCACTTTAAAGACATCATTCAGAGAATCCAGTTGCACGGAGTACATCACACAGAACCACTACATCACCCGCGCCCTCTCAGCCGAGGAGGCTGCTTTCCCCATCGCCTACGTCATGACCCTGCACAAGGAGTTCGAGACCTTTGAGCGGCTCTTCAGGGCAGTCTACATGCCCCAAAACGTCTACTGCGTCCATGTGGACGCCAAGGCACCGGTCCCTTTCCATCAGGCGGTGCGGCGCCTGGTGGGCTGCTTCCCCAACGCCTTCCTCGCCTCCCGGGCGGAGCGGGTGGTCTATGGCGGCATCTCCCGCCTG